TGGTGTCAGCTTGTCGTCTTCTTGAAAGGTCTGTGCACAGATAGGACTGGAATTTGGAATGCGACAAGCCCCAAAGCTGACTATTTTGCACGTACTGAAAAAATAAAAGTAGCCAACCAACCAACCAACCAAATTTTTATTAGAGCAATAAGACGTATTTGTCCATTTTAATGAATCATATCAGTTGAGAGAATTATATATTTCCTGAAGAGGAAAAAAACCCAGCGCCTTTGAATTTGTAGCGTTATGTTTCGAAAGGTCTCAAAGCTGAAGATCACTTAGCGTCACCTCTTGGACCAGATTAGACTTGTGCTGCGCTTCGCTAAACTTATATATTGAAGTTTGAAATGGAGCTGAAGGCTTGTAACTAAAGAAAGTGGCTTGCATAATTTCATATTCTGTTTAAGTGACAATGTTACAGGCAGAACTTATTTTAATTATGGAATTCGGGACTAAGGTAGGCTGCAAACTGGCATACGTCAAGACATGTAACAGTCAAGACACGATGTCTGCGACATGACGCAAAGAAATGAGTACAGTCATAACGAATAAGATTATGAAAACCGCCGCACATGGGTCTGAGTTATGATGCTGACATCAGCTTCACGCTACAGACACGTGCAACAAGACTTGGCATGTTCCTTTTCTGTGCGTCAAGACTCAGACATCAGTACTCAAGGAATAGTACCAGTGTATGTTATCGAGATGATGACGTCATGCCATCAACTAGAGATGTGATAAGACGCAGACACGTGCTACTTCAGTGTGCGGACTCGAGTCTGAATCACGAATGAAGCAAGACTGTGTCTTTTGTCTCGTGTCTTGATGTTTGTCTTGATGCAGTTTCCAACAGTACGTAAACGAACGGTGAATAGTGTTGTGCTCCTTCACTGATTTCGTCCTCAATGTTTCGTGGTCTCCTCGTGACTATGGAAATAATCTAGGTGCCACTGGTGCTGGTAGTTTTGGTTGTAACGCCCTTGACATTCTCATGATCTCATCCCGCCCCTAGTCCCTACATGAGACTTTGTTTACCTACAGTCAATTACATTAATAAGAGTACATCTCTCATTTGCGCCCAATTTTTACTTAATTCCCTTTAATATTAATCCTAATAACACAGAAAGATAGGTGAGTGAAAGGTGAAAGCCTCGACTACAGTCTTTTTTATGAAGCTAATAGTTACACACTATTCAAGAGATTGCAGTATTTTATGAATCTCCAATGTGCATTTCCGTGCTCTCAAACATATGCTACTGGTCCCTATCCTGAGTCACAAGAATCCAGTCAGACCTTCCTAACCTACTTTTTTAGATACACTTTAATATTATCCTGTCCTCTAGTCCTATATTTTCCTAGTGGTTTCTTTCCTTCATGCTTCCCAACCAAAATTTGTATGCATCTCTTCTTCATGAGTGCTATATGCACTGTCATCTTATCCTCTTCAAACTATGGAGCTCCTCTTTATGCAATTCTATACAACCCCTCCCGTTACGTCACCCTTTTAGGCATATGTATTTCCTCAGCATCCTGTTCTCAAACACCCTCAGTTTGTAGCAAAAAATACGGAAAACTTTTCATGTTTGATATTGAAATCTTTGAGATTTTAGATAGAAAACAAAAACAAGAGATTATGAACTGAATTATACAAAGACTTTATCATATTTAATCTGGCCTTAATTTCTTCTAACTTAACGAAAATAAAATTTAAAATAAGGTAGACTTTTATTCTTGAGTTCAAAGGCAATGAACTTGATCAACTCCATTGATGAATCTTAGATTCTCACAGCGGTGTCTGTCTCCTGGGATATAACTCCATGTAGGCTTACTCCAGTGAAAACGAACTAACATTGCCGAGGTACACATCGCTTCCATCTTCAGGGTGAAAATGTAGACGATATATTTTGACGAAACAGTGACCTTCACCGTATAACCAGCATTTTATTCCAGAACACAGAATAGTTCAATAATCTTCTTTGTTGACGTATCACTCATAAGCTGCTACCTTGATTCTCAACAAAAAACATTTCTCTGCCCGTTTCTTCTGGAAGAGTCTGTTTCTCATCAGATTTCCGCTTCTTTGTTTAACTTTTGTTAGCCATGGATTTTATTTAGGAAGTGAATCATTTTACAGAATGTAAAAGGAAAAGCTATTCTTGTAACATGCCGTGGAGGCCCATAGGTTTGTGAGACGTCGAGGCTCCCACATTCTCTATACAATCGGCTTACAGATGGCGGTGAGGTCAGCCTTACACGCCAGCCACCCTTTACCCACAGGAAGATTTCTGGTACTCATTTCTGTTAGAGGCTGAGTCGACCCCAGGGCATTAATGCTGTTGGAAGCATTAGGCCAATTGAAAAATCCAACGACATCGCAAATCTAACCAGTGAGCTTTCGATTTGTAGCATAGTGCCTCAACCAACTACGCTACCACGTGTCCCTTTAACAGAGTACTTACCCCTTCAATAATGAGGCTATTACACCACAGCTCAGCACTTCCTTGACAGTCACAAGGCAGAGGAGGTGAGGCGCCAACGTGTCCAGTAAACAGACGGCCAGCTGACATATTTAGAACAGAAAAAGAAAAAACCGTGGCTTGAGTCCACAAGCGAACTATACAGACCGAGCGACAGCCGCTTGTCGGCAAAGTTAGTGCGAACTTTAGCGGAAAGAGGGTGTCGCGTGGTCAGCGCAACGAATCCCCACGGCCGTTAATCTCTGTTTTCTAGACCGGAATAATAGAATGAGAAACTTCATAATATGACCCTGTAGGTCTACAGGTCCATCTAGTAAGCCTTTATTTATGGTTCTGAAATCTAATGAGCTAGTAAGATAAGGTAAGTTTGTCCCTGTGATTAACTAATTACGCACTACGCCATGAAGGCTTATGGGGGAGTGGATGTATAAATCTAGGGTTTCTTGACCTCAGCACTATTTGGAAGTGACTGATCAGCTTCACGCCCCGCCCGCTGTACCCCACGGGAAAGAGCCCCGGGTGCGCATTGGATGGGAAATTAGGTGGACCCCACAGCCGGTATGGACGACATGAAGAAGTGAAAATACTTGCCCCCACCGGGATGGGAAATCCGACCCCTAGGTGGTCCAGCCAGGAACCAGCCCATTGAGCTAGTACGTGATGGAAAGTGTTTGGACGGAGCTGTTCAGCCGCAGGCACGTAAGACACAAAGTTTGAAAGGAAAACAAATCAATTGAAAGCCTGTAAATTTGAAGACAGAAGAGATGGAACGGATCTTGGTAGAGTAGGCTGTGAGTCTGGAGGTGTAGGACACTGAACTGCAGGGAAGGGCCTTGTGGTTGCTCCTTCTTGGGGGCGGCTGTCTTGCCGTATGGTCAGTAGGTGCATTAGCAAAAACTGAAAACTTAGGCAATTACAGAAGAAAGTCGCGGATAATTGAAACAGGCAAGGGAATGGATAAATCAGCTAGGCCTACAGGCCATAATGACTGTTCAGTCCTTTGCAGGTGTACAGTTCGAATCTCGTGTAACAAATGGGCTATCCCGACCAAGACCTTTCGTGATATTCCTCAGTATTTCCAGGTAGGTGCGGGGTAAAATTTAGGCTGCAATATCGTTCTTCCATGTTCTTATTAATTCACAATCACGAGCCCGCTGACAGTACCAGTTCGGCTGTGTGTTAGCTAAATGTGTGGACCCCAGAGCGTCATTAGAGAAAGAAAGGAAGGAAGAGAGAAAGAAATATGGACAGAAGGAGAAAAATACATAAACATGGAGGAAGATAAAAAAATAAAGTGCAGAAGCCGGAAAGAAATCTAAAGTATAGCGAGGCAAAAGAAGAGAAATAAGACAAACAAAGAAATAAAGGAAGAAGTGGAAAAAAGGAAGGCGTTGCAAAAGATATAAGCCTAAATGCAACGAAGAAATAAAGTATAAAACGAAGGCAGAACAGGTGAAGGAAATGAAGAGAAATGAAGGTATAGAGAAAGAGAGAGAGAGAGAGGAAGGGAGACTAAAGACTAGAAGACAAAAGGCAGGCAAACAAGGAAGGAAGGAAGGAAGGAATAGTAACTTATTTATTGCTGATGGCAGGAAGCAGTAGCGCGAACGTGGGACAGAGAGCAGAACAGTAGGTTCACCCGGGACGGGCTGGAGAGCAGCTGGAGTCACTCTCCCTCCGCCATCTCCTGATGTGCTCTTCATGCTTTATTTTTATCTCCGTCTTGAGCCGTCTCTCTCCTGCGCGCGGATCGAAATCACATTTACTTTGCTGCTTGGGACTCTGGAAGCTTTTTGAATGAGAATTAAGCCTGTTATCCTCTTCAGCTGCACCCAGTGCCCCCTGCCACGCTGTAATACAGCGACCGCCGCTCTCCCCTTCCTCGCAACCCTGCCGCCTGCTGCATCCCTAGCATCCCTTTCAATTCCCGCCTCCTGCTACCAAACTGCTTTTTCGGTGAGCCAATGAGATCACGACATCAAGCTTTAGCCGGCAGCAGCCAACGACCAATAGGATTAAGGCATGTCGGAACTTCCCAGAAGCATCAACCAATCAATGGTGAATATCGTGAACGTATTATTTGTGATAGGAGGACAGAAGGCCCATGCTCGTCTCTCCCGACAGAGCCCCCTGACTTGTGGGCTCTGTAGTTTTAAGGAAACCAGGGGAGGGTTCGAAATCACACACCAGACACACAAAGATGAAGCGAGCCACACCCGAAACTGGCCCAGTTAATTATGAATGTCTTATACGTGTCTAAATGTGAGAAGTGTCGAACTTCGGTATTAATCAGGTTGTCGCAATTAGCAAAGTGGTGAAGTTAGGGGGGAGAGTTGGAGAGGACAGAGGGGTGGTAATGAGTGACGGGTCACGCACACAGCATTGTGCTTCCTCCTCCCACCACTGGCGTCACAGCATCATCATCAGTAAGAGCAATTACTATAGCGCCCTCCCTCCCGCCGCTCCTCACCCCCTATTACTGGGAGCGCTCCTTCAGTTTTGATGGCATGTGGACTACTGCGCTTGTCGAGATGGTGGTGGTGGTGGCGGTGGTGGTGGTGGCAGCATCAACTGCTACACCAGGACCCACCGTGGCAAGATTAAGCCTCGCAAACACCCGCCACTTGTTATGTTAAGCGTACGTACTTGAAAGCAGTCACTTCTGTGACAACTGTACGGAATTAAACAATTTGTTAAGCCCTTTTACTGAAAAAAGTATACAGTAAAATCGGATTATAAGAAGCCGCGCGGTACCAAGAAGTGCCACCACTGCCACCACTGCCGCGCCACCGACGCATGGAGTCCGCAAGTGCATCTCCGCCGGCAACCACAACAGCAGGCGCGGTCCAGTCACCACTCGAGGCGGAGAACGCACTGCGAGGTGAGTCACAGCTAAGTCGCTAATTTCAATTTTGGTGTAATTCGAGAACGAATAGATCCCGGGCACTCAGATCTTATTCTGAGCTTTCATAGTAACTAAATAATGATTCGTTACAAAGAATTTTCTGTTGATTTCAGAGCGAATTATAACTGGATTACCCTATTTGTATTTTCAAATATCAATGAAGACGTTGGCCATTAAATAATTATATAAAATGTAATATTTTTTTAAATATGGATACAAGCCAAATAAATTGTGTTCAATTCAGTTATCATCCTTACATTAAATTTTCCATTGTAGACACGATTCCAGTTTTTATCGACATTAACTTTCGAAAGCGCAATAGTCACTATAGGCCTCTGCAAGTGCTTTAAATTTTAAAAGCACTCAATGCTTTTCATAGACGGAAATTAAGGGCCGCTGTGTGTCCTATATTTCTCACGATAAACAGTGATTCTTCTCTGAACATCAGTAACCGATTGGTTCTTGTACTAGCAACGCAGTGTGTTTTCTATAAAGTAGGAATTTAACATTTAGATAAGTTTTATGGTCGATTTAGATCAACTTCAGAATTCAGAGTGTTAATAGACCTTGAAATTTATGTCTGCTCTTTTAGTCTTAGTAAAATGAAAGTAAATGTATCCCTGTAACAGGCCGTGGAGGCCCGTAGGATTGTGACATGTTGAGGTTCCCACATTTTCTAGACAATCGACTCATAGTTGACCACAAGGCTGTCAGCCCTACGCTCCAGCCACCTTTTACCCCCAAGTATATTCCAAGAATATTCCTGGTACTCATTTCTGTTAGAGGCTTAGTCGGCCCAAGAGCCATACTGCGGTTGGAAGGATTAGGTCAATTGAAAAAGGATCCAGTGACCTCATCGGGACTTGAACTGCGACCTCCCGGCTTTTAGCATGGTGCCCCAACCAACTACGTTAACGCGTGCCCCCCCCACTTTAGTCTTAGTACCCACATATAATTAGAATATGGGTCTGTAGCACTCTGTGACATAAGATACAGCGATTTTATAATTAAAATAAAATGTCTTTCAGAACTAAAGAAATATAAAAGAAATAAAATCGTTTCAGAAAATATTCAGTCAAATATGAATTACAGATGCTATTCACGTCATCAGTTAAACATTCAGTAGCTAAACACATTTGTTTATATTTAATCAGCGATGAGCTTCTTCGAGAACTCACTGCAAGGTACAGTTGTACAAACCTATTGGCTCCTGGCCACAGCACAAAGCCATGTTATTGTTTAAATCATAACATTCCTGACGTCATGAGGAACACAACTAGATCATTTCTTTCCTACTGCAACTGGCAGTGACATTGACTGCAAGACAAGAAAATCGATAGGCTTAACTGTGAAATTGCAATTGCTTTCACTACGATAATTGTGGAAAGGTGAGACCTCCATTTAACGAAACTTCATTTCATTACTCCTGCAGGTATATAGGCCGACTGCAGTGGCTGCGCAGTCTGGGATTAGAACCGTCTTCGTCAGCTCGAACAATGGGGGAGTGGGTTCAAATCCCACTCGAGGCATGGATGGCTGTGTGTGTTAATTCCGTGTTTGTGTTGTTCTGTGTGCAGATAGCAGCCTTGCGACGAGCTGATCCCCCGTCCAAGGAGTTCTACTGACTAGGTATTTGAAAAATCGGCCAAGATCCACAAGGGCTGTAGAGCCATGGAGGGGGAAAAATAGGTATATAGGCCTGCCTTATAATTTGCATCAACCCTGTCAGAACAGACTACAGTAATATTACTACAAAACAGGTTAGGCACTGCAGGTTAATAAGAGTTTCAGTTTTTCCCTATAATTCATTCAGGCCTATTGTTTTGGCCGAAGACACATAGGTGTGTTGTAGGTCAGAATTTCAGCCAATCATTGCAAATATGTTTCCGTGTTTTGATAGGGAAATAGAATTAATCATATCCTGAAAATTGTGTAAAATAGGGCCAGAGCGGGTTTTTTTAGTATTATACACATTCAGGAAACAAAGTTGAAGTTCTGTTTGGTAGTTCAATTTTTTTTTTCAGGATAAAATTTTTGATTAAAATTCGTAAAATGTTACGGCGACAGTAATTTTGGCTTCTGTAATTTATACAACGTTGCTTTGTGGCCTGTGTTACCAGAAGCCGAAGAAAACATCACCGATGATGCTTTACTTTTTCGGTATGAACACTGAAATATCTAATTATTGTAGGTCTATATGTGAGTTTAAATTATTCTAGAAATACGCAGCCAGTGAAATCTATTTATTAAGAATCGTAACAAAATGTAGGCCTACTGTAAATATGACTGTTATTATTTGGGGCATTCTTAATCGTTTTCAGTTCCTTTCAAACACAAATTTTCGGACACAACAAGCTCTAATCGTCGTGTGCAATGAAGGCTATATCCCTAATCAGATTGGTCAGTTAGACCGATCTGGTCTTAATTACTGCACACCAAGGCATCAGAAGACTTTTACATAGAGTATACGCCTATAACCAGTTAACATCAATTTTTATCATTTGGTGAAAAGGGTAGAAAAATTGCAAGTAATTATGCTTCAATGGACATCCCATAGTAATTCAAAACAGATTTAATTGGACTAAGTACACTAATAAGCCGGTCACGGTAGCCGAGCGGTCTAAGGCATGCACTGTATTCGATTGCTCGGAAGCCAGGATCGTGGGTTCGAATCCCACTCAGGGCAAGGATGTTTGTGTGCTTTTTTTTTGTGTTTGTCTACAGGTAGAGGCCTTGCGACGAGCTGATCACCCGCCCAAGGAGTCCTACCGTATGTGTTAGATCTAGAAAAACCGAAGTAAACGGAGTTCATGGAGGTAGGCCTAGGCCCACTGGGGCTGTAGTGCCAAGGGGGGGGGGAAGTAAACTAATAAACGGTCACGATAGCAGAGAGATCTAAGGCATGAACTACCTTCGCTCGCTCGGAAGCCGGGATAGTGGGTTCGAATGCCGTTCAGGGGACAGATATTTAGTGTTTCTAGGTGTCTGTGCGTATTTCTGTGTTTGTGTTCAGGCAGAGGGCTCGTGACTAGCTAATCACCCGCCCAAGGAGCCCTACCTAATGTCTAAGATCTAGCAAATCGAAGTGAAACGGAGAGTTTTATGGAGGTAGAACAAGGCCCAAATTGGGGCTGTAGCGCCAAAGATAAAAAGCATAATAAAAAGTTAACATTATGTTTATTAATTTATATACTACACCTATAACCTATATTTCACGAGAGAATGACCAAGTCTTGCATTTCGTAAGAGCGTGTGAGTAATTCATAAACTATAACGTAGGTTTACGCATTATACTGACGCTCCCACACACGAGTGTAGACTGCTAATAGAACGTCCGTGGAATTAACAGAACACTGTTTTCTGAAAATCTCTTGTCTTAATACCAGCTAGTAAATTGTTTAAATTTCGAAGTTCCGTTTTGGATATCCTAAACACAGCATGAAACTTAAAGGGAGTGTTTACAGTTTCAAATCCCACTGAAATATCTTGGGCAACTCAAAATGTTTCTTTCAGTTTCCTAAGTTATTTAATTGGGGCCGCGCCATAGCTCAAGCGATTAGTCGCTTGCTTCCCGCCACGGCGGCCCGGGTTCGAGCCCGGGTCTGGTCAAGTGGGATGTGTGTTGGACAAAGTGGCGATGGGGCAGGTTTTCTCCGAGCACTTCAGTTTCCCCTGCCAATCTCCATTCCACCAAATTCTCCATCATCATAATCACCCGGGGCAGGTACAATAGACCATTCAGTGGCCATCATGCCGAGTGAAGCCAGCTGGACCCCATACTATTCGAATTAAAAATAAAGGAATCTTAATTAGAATAAAAAGCGCGTCGCTACTAAGAGAAACGTATTGGTGCCGGTAATGTCGTTCTTGTCCACAAGAAAATCCATTTGATCAGAAGAAGCTTTTGTTGCTTTGTATACCTTCTCCCTTTTCTGAAAACCATCAACATGTGTCTCAATAGGCCTCTGATATGATCGGTACTGACACAAAGCTATTGGTGCCCATCAAAGTGTATGATATCACACATAAGCAGATCGTAAACTTAACAAAATTATTCCTAAAATATTTCGTTACATTTTCAGCAAACTCTTTACCTCTCGAGCCGGTCACGGTAGCCGAGCGGTCTAAGGCATGTACTGACTTCGCTGGATTGGAAACCGGGATCGTGGGTTCGAATCCCACTCAGGGCATGGATGTTTAGTTTGTGTGTGTGCGTTTTTCTGTGTTTGTGTACAGGTAGAGGCCTTGCGACGAGCTGATCACTAGCCCAAGGAGTCCTACCGAACTTGTAAGATCTAGAAAACCGAAGTGAACGGAGAAGTTCATGGAGGTAGGCCTAGGCTCACTGGGGCTGTAGTGACAAGAAAAAAAAACCTCAGGATCATTTCAAATTTCACGCAAAAGACAATAGATATTAAGAGAGTGTAGTTTTATTTTCGAAAAAAAAATTTCAGTTAATTAAAATTTAATTCTAGGACTACAGTTTCAGAAAAATTGTATTCTTCGGGATTTTAAAACTATTTTATACCAGTATTATAAGGTTATCTCCTCCAGACCAGCTCTGGGGTCCACCAAACCTCCTATACAATGGGTACTTGGGGCTCTTTTCCGAGGGTAAAGCGGCAAGGGCGTGAAGCTGACCACTCACCTCCAACTAGTGCCGAGGTAAAGAAAATGTGGATCTGTACATTCACTCCCCCACAAGTCTTGATGGAGTAATGCTTAATTAGTTAAACACAGGGACAACTTCATCTTTATTATAAGGTTATCTAATATAATTATCTGAGGTATCAATATCTAATATTTATTTTAACCTTCTGACTGAGTAGGTTCACACAGCCTAAACTTGCTAGTTTTTGGTGAATTGTATTTTATTAAATTACTAATATTAGTTTGGGAGCGCGCGGAAACGGAGTTGGTTGAGGAACTATGCTACAAGGTGGAAGGTCGCAGGGTCAAATCCGGAGGGGGTGAAT